TGCGGGTGGTAGGTAGAGAATCTGGGAGAGAAGTTGTGCCTGGGAAGAAGGGAGGAATGGAGGGAAGGTGTTTTGAGATTTGGTTTTATTTCTCATTACCCTACTCTGGTTGATTGGTAATAAATTGAGTTAATTTTTCCCCAAGTCAAGTCTGTTTTGCCTGTGACAGTAATTAGTGAGTAATCTTTCTTGTCCTTATCTTGACTCACAAGCTCTTTATTATATTTTCTCTCCCCTGTCCAGCTGAGGAGGGAGGAGTGATAGAGCAGCTTTGGTGGGCACCTGACATCCAGCCAGGGTCAACCCACCACAGTTTGTTACATGCTTATTTACATTCTCACCCAAGATAACATGCTTGTTGCTATGTGTGCTTCCAATGCTTTCTTTGTCTAGTATGTCCCAAGCATTTAGATGAATCTATTCAGGGACTATTTTCACTGTTTAATCTTTATTTTTAACTACTTAGAACATCAGTTGGATTAATCTGCAAAACTTGAAGTTTAGTAGTAACAATAATTGTTTAACTGGAAATTTAATATTTAATTGTGTCTTGGAATAGATACATTTGGGGGGGAATATTAAAATGTGATGCCAGAATCAGGCTGAAGAAACATAACATCTCATTATGACTTTTATATATTTGTATAATTTCTTATTGCAGATCCATAATAACTCTTCAGCTGAATAGGGTGCTGCTTCCAGGGATCTCCTCCAATGCTTGCAGTGCAGCCAGGGGTCTGTGCTTTATGTGTGCTGTCCTTCCCATTGTTTGGAAGGTTGATGGCAGCCTGAAAACTGCTGCAAGTTGTGAGCCAATCTGCCAGGTACTTTTGAAGAACTGTAGCTTGTGGTTTGTGGCCATGCTGAAAGCATTTAGCTGTGAACTGGCAAGCTGATGGCTCTACGTGCCTCTAAGAATATAGCCCTCAGATGGTTCAGCTGCACCTGTGCCGTAACAGCAACTTGCTGATGTTAGAAAGCCACCTGCAAAAAATTTGAGAAAAATTTGCTTGAGTTAAAAATACAGTGAATGATTCTTCACACTGGTCATTCTGGTATTAGATACACCTGCCTTGTGGAAAAGACAAGAATAAAATTCATGCACTGGCAAGTCTGATGTGTTTGCACGCCTTTGTGACTGTTTTCTCCATTCAGACTGGTTTCCATCTTTGTAAAAGAGACTCCCATGTGTAGTGAGAAGAGAAAGAAAGGAACAGTAAGAAAACAGATACTTACTTGTCTCTCAGTCAGTTTTGACTTAGTCTTTAGTTGCCACTTTTAAGATTAGCATTGTGAATATAGAATTAAGCTATAGCTCACTTTTCTCTTTCTCCCCAAATGTACATCATGTTTAGGGTGATATCTTCTCCACCTGACAGTAAATGGTATTCGTCAGACCTGTGGCTAACTTGGTCTCCCAGCAGAGTTGAGAAGCAAATGAACAATCAGGAGCACACGATAAAAATTTTAATAATTTTTTTGTGTTCTAATAAATGTCATTCTGATTCACTTATTCACTGTCTATTGGCAGGAATTACTGAACTGATTTTATTTTTATTACATATTAACTTTGTTAGTGTATTTTTAACAAAAAATATTTGGGGTTTAAATTCCAGATGCTAGGTGATAAAAGGAGGGTTGTATTCCTGTGCCAAGCTTGCACAGGAGCCAGGACACCTGCATGTCCTGCAACATATGTGAGGGATGCAAGTGAACATACATTTTTAGAACTCGTAATGCCATAGGCAAATCTCCTAAAATTTATCTCTGTTTGTAAAATCATGGGAGATTTAAATTAAGTTCTTGAATCGTCTTGGCTGAGTTTCCTGTTATATGGCCTTTTGAAGGTTTTTTGTTGATGTTTGGGGTTTTTGTTTTGTTTCATTTTTTTCCCAAAGCCGCTATTCTGTAAACATTGTGGTGCGTGCTAGTGAGATGGGCAGAACAAGAGGACGTAGAGGAAAGTGGCAGCAATAATGGAGTGTATGTAACCTGGCCAGTCTTTTCTGCAGGCTGACTCATTCATAGTACTGTTAGGAGTGCAGCAGTTGATACATTCAGAACAAAAGCATCTTGGATCAAGAACCTGAACAATATTCATATTTGTTGGTATGAGTATGCTTTCCTGTCTTAAACAGAAAAAAATGAGAACTCTGAGGAAAGCAAAAGTTTCTGTGGTTTTTATTAGAGTAAATGGAAATAAGGAAGTCAAGAAATGAGATGCAATACCTTACATATCTCCTCTTCCCTCCTCTTTGCTTCTTTCTGTAGGACCATTTGACTTCAGCTCTGGCATGGCATACAGACAATGGCATTAGCTAATTTGGCTCTGTAGTGCTGAACATGAATATGAATTAGAGACAAGTGCCTGAGCTCTCATACTGACTTTTGTTTAGCTGTTAATTTGTTCAAATGTTAATGTGCCACATGCACATAAGCCCAATTAGGTTTGAAAATGCTTATTTTCTTTTCATGGCTTCTAAAAATTGAAGTTTTGTTTTATTTTATAAGTTATTTTAATCTTTTTTATTTGTCTCAAGATAATAAAGAGGATGTATAAACACATCCAAGGTTTAAAATTCAGTGGAACACTGCACTATGACCTTCTGACTCTTAAATTAAAAGTAAATGAAAAATTACTATAATAAAAATCTTATTTGATATTTGCATTTAGTAGTACCATAACTAACAATGGCACTGGGTGCGAGTGTTGAGATTTCTTTAAGGTTTTACCTTACATAAGTGTTTTTACCTCTACAGCCAGAATAACCCTTAGTCTGGAGTGGGGATTTTTTTTACTTCTTTCTATGGGAATTTTGTAAAGCTTAGCTTCTGAACTCTTTCTTATATACTGTAGTATTATGCATTATTGATCAGCTTTGATGATCCTGCTACTTCACAAAACTAAGGAAGATGTTCATCTAACATCACAGGGCTTATAATCTAAACTTTGTATAGAGATGATGCACTTGCTAAAGAAATGTTGTTCAGAAAGAGTGGAAACTGAAACGGAAATATACTGGATTCTGTGGGCATTAACTTAATATTTTAAACTTTTCTAAATATTTTATTTGCAGAGGGTTTGCTTTTGCTTCCTGATACAGGTGCTTAGATCAGTTACTTTATTCAGAAAGAAGTCTGAGAATCAGCGATTTGGATGTTGGTTTAGAGCCCAGTGAAATTCAGTGACTTGAATATTATCTCATGTTTTGCAACTGCTATCTAGAAGGACCTGCTAGACATTTTAAAGTTCAGCCATCATTTTTCTGTCTAGTTTAGGGTAGAGTATAAAAAACTACGTACATTACATGAAATTTTGTTGAAGTAGGAAATTGTGTGTGTCTTCTGAAGCTGAAATTAGGAAACAATTAGAAAAAATTACTGGTACTAGCATTCATGATGCACAAAAAACACTAACTGTAACAGCACATTAAAAGCCAGCCTCCTGACTCTGCAGTAGATAAAGAGAAATTATGTTGCGTTTGTTTAGAGAAAATATGATGCTAGATAATCATTAGTTTCTTGGGTAGCAGTTCAGTTCCTGCTAAACTACAAAAGTAATGAAAAATGAAGTTTCAAGTTTAGATTTTCATATCTAAGTGATGTTATTTTATTTAGATACATTTTATTTAGGCTCAGAAATGAGCTGATCTGGGAACTCTCCCACAGAGGTGATATACTTCCAATGACTGATGAAGAGTAAACTGAAGTGGCGATACTCTAGGAAGGCCAGAGGGTATTGTAAATGGTCCGTCATGCTAAGTGTTTGTTTTTCAGTATGTTCAACTCACCATACTATTTTAAATGTTGAAAGACAGAGTAAGCCAGAATTTCAGCCAGCATCCAAGCCTCACATTGCTATTTGATTCATTGCTAGCATATTATTCCACATTAAAAAGTTAGGGAATTAACCAGTTTAGTGACACATAAGGAACAAAGTTTTGGCATGCTTCTATGTAGACCACAGAAATTACATAAACACTGTTTTTCACAATTTGAAGTCTATTAAAATGTTTAGGTAAGACGTAGAATTTGCAGAGGGAGCCTAATCTTCTACTCTTTTACCAGGACCCATATAAGCTCCTAACTCACTTTCTGGTTTTGACAGATTTTATCAGCTTGCAGAAATGACATGAGCAAATACTTTAGTGGTGATTGAAATTCAGGTGTTCCTGTCATGTATGATTTTGCTCTGATCCCTAGGTAATGCATCTTAGCATAATGGCGGGTTTGTCTGTTTTTCCCTTTAGTTAAATTTCTGAGGATAATATAATAATTTTTCCATTAAAAAAGGAAATATTTTTAATATTAAAACTGAATCATGGATATCAGGTTGTATATATTTATGGCTGAATAAATATATCGTGACTTTCATTTACGTTATTAAATCTTTACTGATTTTTATAACTAAACTATACCTAAAATTATTTTTTAGTTTCTGAAATATATGTCTATTTCCGGTTCAGGCTAAATTTCTTTATATTAGCTAGTTGAAATGGTAACAGCAGCTGGTGAAGCCATAATATTTTATCCAATGATGCCTGTGTCACATTTCATGCCAATTATTATATCTTAAGAGATTCAGTTATATGAAATTTTATCTACAACCAGCTTGTGCTCCCTAGCTTTTAAATTCAGTATCACTGAGCACAATTCTATGTTTTTGCATCACACTATGTGCCTTTCAATGGTTAAAATATTTCTAAAAAGGGTGGGAAAAAAATCCCTCAACAGAATGAAAAATATTTCAGATACAGCTTTTGGATCATGTCCAGATTCTACATTAAAAATGCTTTCCAACACCAGACGAAGCCTGAATCATAACGACTCATTTAATACCATGTGCTCTGTGAAAAGAAAATGAGATCAGTAGTTAAATGAAATGCCCACAGATCCTGGGCATGGTGCACAAGATCAATAAAGATGATAATACAGAGATGTGGGAGGACACTAAACTGGTCTGTTACTTAAGATTTATTTTGTCTTCCTGAATCTTTCAGAGTGCTCTATGGAAACAAGATCACAGAGATTCCCCAGGGCCTTTTTGATGATCTTGTGTCTCTGCAGCTGCTGTGAGTATGATCCCTTCCTCTATTTTACAGACTAGCTAGATTTACTGTTTTTTCAGCTTCTGACATTAATATGATCACCTTTTCCACTGAAAACTCACTGGATGTGCTAGTCTGTTGTTTCTGTCAGGCATGAGGGAGGCAAGGGCTGAAAAAAAAAAAAAAAAAAAGGAAGGTGCCAACAGTTTTATAGCACCATGTGTATAATGGATAATAGACACAGAGGATTTAAGTGTGGGGAGGAAATGAGGGACTCAGTGAAGTCCAGGAAAGGAAATTTGGTCACCGGCTGATGTGCGGGTGGGGATGCCATCTGATTGTTTTTACACATTTAGCATTTGTGGTTGAATAGCTAGATCCTTGAGGGCTACTGTGTTGCAAGTACCTGCACATGCAAGCAAAATGGCATTATGAATGATCTTATTGTTGCGAGCCATGCTCAGTTCCGTATTTTTATTATGCCAAATGTGGCTTAGTTGCAAGAGAAATGTTTTCAGAATATATTGTGTATTGAGTATTTTATGCCATGTGTGATTTAACATACAGTCATGATCAGGAGTAAGATACATATCATACCCTCTTCAGTATTTATTAATATAGCATAAAAAATTTCCTAAGCCAAATGTAAAATTGCAAATTTCACTCACTCTTGTCTCCATAATCACATTGAGAACCAGTAACTCCTTCAAAGAGAAGGAAATCAGCTACTGTTTCAGCCAGTCAGTAGAGGGAGCGGACATGAAGTGAGTTTAATGTGTATTCCTAACGTTCTGATTACCATCATGGATGATGCACTCAGAAAGTAAAGGTGATATATGACAAATTAATCAGTTCTGGTTTATATCACACACAACCCTCTACCCCAAACAATAAATTATTTAAAATATGAAATAAAACATAGCTTTTAGACATATTATTTTAAGCTTTTCTGACTGTCTTGACATAACCAGAAATGAATATCCAAAAGTTCATTATTACCATTGAATGTGTCACTTTACGATTGCAGTCTTTATAAAAACAAGCATAGATTCAGATTAGAAATCCATGAGCAAAGCCAAAGAACTAAAATATGAAAGAGTTGAAATTGCTCTATATGTTAAGTGAAGGACTACTCAGACGTGTAATTTATCCCCAAGATCTTAATTGCAAACATGGACCACCCTATTCTAGAGAAGGACAAGCAAGAGCACATGTGGTTTGGTTATGACAATTCTTGAGCTGCGATGGTGGGAAGTTGTTCATCTCCTCCTGCACACAGCTGATTATATTGTCTTCACCTTTTGTACATACCTCTCTCTTGTACCATACCTCACAAGTTTGTTAGTACTTCCATGTCTTCATGGCCAGCTTGTGCAGTAAGAGAAGACTGTGTATTTAGGGGGGACATAGTTTGCCATGTGTGAGAACAATAAGCATGAAAGTGCTTAGAAGCTGGGACTCAGTACATGTTGATATAACTGGCATGTTAGTCATTGTCAGACTCAGGTTGTGTTCAGTACAATGAAGACGCTGCAAGCAAAAGGAGAGCTAAAACGTAACTTGTCACTTTGACTTCTGAGAAAGAAACTATATTAAAAAAATCTGAGCTTTATCATAGTCCTTCCTCCCCAAATGTTTTATGGTTACAAGTCCAAAGTGATACGCAGTTGCTCTAACCCAGGACACTTTACAGATAGGATCTTTCCCAGTAGGAAAAAAAAACCAAACCAAAACACTCAACACATGGCTCACAGTGTCCTATAAAAATGTATGTCTAGAACTTTTGCATAAAGCATTAAGCAGGTTTCAATACCTTTATACTGTAGTCCTTGTGTGCACGTAGTGTGGGCTTTCAGCGAATTACATATTTAAGCCTGGATACAGTAATTTTCCAGTCTGAATTAGCTCAAGTGATGCCTTTTTGTTAAGGGCACAAAATCTATACACCAGAGAACCATTAAAAGGTATTTTACTTCAACCATTTAAACATTCTCAAGCTGAGAAGATGTAAGTAGTTTGCCCTGTTATGGGATTCCCAGAGTATTGTGGCTGTGGACCTTTCAGGGTCTTCTTGAATGTAAAGTAGCTTTTGGCAAGGAGAACATTGAATGATCATGCTTTAAATGCAAACAAACATCTGCACACTTTTCTGATCGTGGCTTTGAAGCAGCTATTATGGGATTGCTTGCTTGCAGTATTTTAATGGATACCAAAAAAATAAATGGCATTCGTTGGTTTTAGGCCTGCTGTTGAATAGTTGGAAGAGTGCCCTATGATTAGATCTAATATAGTGTTCAGTGGGCTCTAGATTGGATTTCTTCCTATTAGTCTGGAGACACACTGATAAGAACGCTCTGATTAAGGTATTCTGGTAGCCAGTGTAATTTCCTAAGCTTGAGCTGGAGCATTTTTGAAAATACACTGGCATTATGGTAAAGCAGGACACAGTCAGGAAAAAAGGAGTCACTGTGGGTCCTGTATAAAATTGTTGAGATTGTATTTAGAAGGAAAAAATAATCACTGTGAAATTGCAGAGCAGATAATATTGTTATTTACTGTTTTGGATAAAACTCAACAGAGTTTATCAGAAATGTCATTATCCTTCTGTTTAAATATACTGTCACTATATAGGCCCAATTTATTCCACTTTTATTTTGGCAGAATTGTTTTGTATAAGTGTCTTACATCTGCAGACAGTACCACTGATGTCAGAAACACTGTAGCTGGGTAAAGTAATGCTCAGGTCAGGCATGACAGCATCTTAAACTGCCCCATTTGACTTTGGTCTATAGGAAATTAAGAATTCAGAACAAGTTTTAGACCACCTGGCTAGCATTAGAATTCTGTATTTCTGTCATATAAGACAGAGGTGGTTAAACCAATATTATATTATATTTGGCAAGAAAATAATAAGTCATGGTTAGATAATAAGGTTTTTTTGTTGGGGTGGGGTGTGGTGTTGGTTTTGTTTGGGTCTTTTTTAACCCTATTGGTTTAATTTAAAACGTTGCTTCTGAAGTCTTCATTATAATTAGCTATCTTAAGTAGTCAACATTCCCCACATAAATAATCACAATTGGATTTCTGTTAAATTGCTGATTTCACAAATCTTATGTCTTCCTAAATATGCAACTGTAACCAACACAGCAGCAAACATTATGACAGAAGTCCAACTACACATCTGTTCCGTGGAACAGAAGCTTTTCTTGGACCGTGTTATTTTCCTTATCCTGTTTGAAGTTGCCAGGAGAGACAATGCTAGAAAGCTACTGTAGCTACTGTACCCTATCCTCATACATTCTTCTTTTCAGCAGTCTGGATCAAGTGTCTCTGAGAATTTTAGGTCAATTTGGATTTTAGAGACCTATACTGTTTTCCAGAATGGGATAACTGGAATCAGATTTTTTTAAAAAAAATTTTTTTTTTCTTTTTACAGTAAACTGAAACTTTCATTTCATTGGGACAACAATCCATCCAAGCTGTGAAATAGTGTTTGATTAATTATCGTTGTTTGTGCATCTTGCATTTGAATATCAAAAGAATAGAAAGGGTTTCAGTTCAAGGTGAAAGTTTTCAAGTAATCATTCGCTGTGGCCAGTTTGAACTGCTGTCCAGGAGGCCCTAGACTAACCTTGGTCTGCCAGTCACTGCATGGGGAGTGCCACATAACACTGCGCAGTTCTCTCTTTTTCAGCAGCCCTGTGACAGATAAACCTGATGGTTGCTCTGCTTGCTCCCAAATGAGCAAATGTGCAGAGCCAGTCTGCAGTGAAACAGTGAGTCAAGTGGCTCAAGACAGTGAGCTGTGGATAATGGGCACCAAGTTTGTTAACCAGTATCTTTCATATCTAAGTAATACACTTTCCTTTCTGCAACCTTATTAAAACAAACATTCTGGGAGCCTTTTTATTACAGTTATACAGTGTGTGCTTTACAGTGCTCTGTTTCCTGGAACAAGAACGTATCATAAAATCTCTACTGTTTAAAAAGATTGTATAGCAAAATAATACAGGGGGATGAAATATCATTTTTCAAATTTCTGGCAAGTATCAGTTTTCAATAAATCCTTTTCCTTGAGGAAATTTACTTTGCATAGTTACTAATCATACAAGTGCTTATGTGTGTTGATCCTAAATCTTATGGTTGAGATCCCCATGGCTTGCTGGGCAAGAAAGAATCCCTATAGCGGACTCCGTTTTGATGTTGCTAGAAGTAGATATACTCCTGGGGTACATATATATTGAAATCAGAGGTTTGTCATAGTCCTCTTTCATAAAATGAAGCCAAAAGCTTACAGTCTTTTCCTCCTTCTCCTAATGTCTGATCATTAGGGAAAATTCAACACTGTAGTTGGAAAAGACCAGTAATCATATTGGTGCCTGGAGTTTGACATATTGACAAATAAAGTAACATCAGAAGTGGTGAAAAATTAGACTTCCAGATCCAATCATCTAACTTAGCTTAAAATTGGAACTAGATCTAATATTTACAACTTCAGCTGACCTTTAATTAAAATAGACTTGTATGAAGTGACAAGTCCTGTGTGTACTTTCAGAAACTGCTATTACCAGTCTTCCCAAAATTCAACCAGTCAAATTTTACTTTGAGTGGTTCTCCTTTTTAACCTGCTTTTTACGCTGTTTGTCCTTGGATGAATAGTTGAGCTACTTGGTACTCCCACAGCTCTTCTGGTGAGGTTGCTTGGAAAACATCTCCATGGCAAATTTGCCAAGTTTGAAGTGCTTGTGTTGATTTGTAATTGTAAATTGAATCCCACTACCTAAGAGCTTAAAATAGTATCTACCAATTATTTATTGTATACTTTTGGAGCTTGTTAGAAGCTCAAAGAAAATCCAGTGAAGCACAAACTCACAGAAAGTATTTAAAAAAAAAGAAATACAAAATTACTCTAAAGAATGTACATCAATTCCAATATTTGTATTGTATACATTACACTGTTATATACATAAGTATCATTAAACAGTGATGCAAACAGTATATAAATGCCAGAATAAAGAAATTAG